CTCATCTGCCATCATCAGAAGCCTGATGATGGCAGATGAGATTCTGCTGAAATGTCACTACAACTTTAAAAGCACAACTACTATGACATGGGAAAATACCCGAACAAAGCCGAATGCCATACATGTAAGTACCCGCGAAAACTTAAGAAAACATATATGTATGTATGTATGTATGTATGTATGTGTATGTAAATGTATATGTATATATATATATATATAAAAGATAGAATATAGAGGAGCAAAGATGCTTAAAATTGAACATAAAATTAAAATTAAGGTACTGGTAAAAAAAAGGATGGTCCTTCAAGTGCAGGAAAACTTGGGCTGTTTACTGTTAACTTGTTCGGCAGTTCCTTGATTGGGGCATTGTTTACTTCCTGATTGTTGGTCTGATGTTAACCTTGGTGTTAATCGCTGCTCATCTAGGTGTTGATTGCTGGTGGGGAGGTCATTCTGGGTCATTTTGTTCCTTTTTTGGCAAAATAAAGCCACATCGAGTTATAGAATAGAATAGAATGGATGGAATGGAATAAGGAATGGAATAAGGAATAGAACAGAATAAGGAACAAAATGGAATAGAATAGAATTCTTTATTGGCCAAGTGTGACTGGATACACAAGGAATTTGTCTTTGGTGCATAAGCTCTCAGTGCGCATAAAGGAAAAAATAAAATACAATCCTCAAGAATCACAAGGTACAACACTTAGTGACAAGTCATAGGTTACTCATAAGCAATCAAATCATTCTAGGGAACAACTAAAACAATATAAATTGTAAAGATACAAGCAACATGGTTATAGTCATACGTGGGAAGAGATAGGTAGCAGGAAGGATGAGAAGAACAACAGTAATACAGTCTTACTCAATAGTTTGACGGTGTTATGGGAATTAGTTGTTTAGCAGAGCGATCGCAAACAGAAGATTCAGCAGAAGCATTTGAAGGTCAGAATAGAACCGGAAGAGGCCTTGGAGGTCATCTAGTCCAACCCGTACTCAAGCAGGAGACCTTACACCCTTTCAAATGGCTTTCCAGGGATGAAGCAGCCACAACTTCTGAAGGCAAATTCTGTTCCACTGGTTCATTGTTCTCCCTGTCAGGAAATTCCTCCTTAGTTCTCAGTTGCGTCTCTCCTTGATTAGTTTCCATCCGTCGTTTCTTGTCCTGCCTTGAGGTGCTTCAGAGAATAATTTCACCCCCTCTTCTTTTTTATGGCAGCCCCTCAAATACGGAATATTGCTATCAGTATCTCCCCTACTCCCTCTTTTCACTAGCCATACCCAAAATTGTTGGTTGCAAACAATTAAAAAAAAATTGGTTGGAAACAGTAACCATTGCTAGGAACTTTCTACCAACGAAGGTTCATCAACCTTCATCAGTAGTTCCCACGGTGTAGGATGTCCTCTCAGTTTTTAACCGAGATGAAGCCAATCTGAGTGCCAAAGTTTTCTCCATCTCGAACGTGTGAGTAGAACTTGTCGGGCTGACAGGATGTGCAAAGTGTGAGGTTTTGCTCTGGGTCTGTTACGGAGTCGTCTTGAATATTCCTGGGTAGAACCCCTCCAGCTTCTAGGAGAACTCTGTTGCGGGAGAAGAAATTTTTATGTTGTAATTATTAGTCACCACAAAAAAAAAAACAAATTATGATAAACCAGCACTGAGGATTTCTCAACGGGGTTGGAGAATGAATCATGAACATTTCTAGCAAGAATTGTTGTTGGGTTACTTCGTTGTGTTTATCTTTGATATTTAGAACCTTCAAGGTTATCAACGTTATTAGAGGCTCCCAATTCTTAACATCTGAGGCCTCTAAAGTTATCTTAAGAGCAGAATAAAACCAACTTGCCTATTTGGAAAAAAAAAAACAGAGAAAAATCATACACAGGGCCACGAAGGGATGAATTAGTGTAATTAATGTTATTTTATAGCAGAGCAGTCTTCCAATATTTGAGGGGCTGTCGCAGAGAGAACCCCCCAAAATAGATGGAAACTCATCAAAGGAGAGAAGCAACCTAGAACTAAGGAAAAATTTCCGGACAGTTAGAACAATTCACCGGTGGAACAACCTGCTTCCAGAAGTTGTGGCTGCTTCATCACTGGAGGCTTTTAAGAAGAGATTGAATAGTCTCTGTTGTCTGGAATGGTTTAAAGTCTCTTACTCAGGGATGTGGTTGGATTACAAGACCACCAGGGTCCCTTCCAACTCTGTTATAAGGAAGCAAGGAAAGAAGGAAGGGAGGAAAGAAACAGAAAGAGGGAGAAAGGAAGGGAGAAGGAAGGAGAGGAGGAAGGAAGGAGAGGAGGAAGGAAGCAGAAGGAAAGAAGGAAACTCTTAGGAATGTGAATCACCTAACAGCTATTTGGGATGGAAATATATAAACCAGTATAGACATTTTAATACTGTCTCTTTAAGAGAATCCTAAAAGTGTAATTGGGTGTGGTTTCTCAAACGGCCATAAGATGGAGCCAAAAACCTGGGTTGTCTTAGTCTTAGTCTCAGAAGAGAGTGTGCCTGAGTGAGTATCTCTGTTTCCTTCTGTTGGAAAGTATTGCCGTTCCTCCATTTTTCCTAATTGACTGATATTCATGGATTTGATGTAAGTCTGATACTGAACTGTTTTTGACACTGGACTTTGTTATTGGATTATCCCTGGATTGAAAACTGACTGATTTAACCTGTGAATGACTTTGGACTGTTTATCTTGAACTTTGCTTAAACCTTTCTGGAAGTAAAAACCTACATTTACTGTACAGTGTATCTGTGCGCTCTGTGTGTATTATTCAAACACTTCTCTCAAATACGTCTCCCTGTATGCGCTCATTCTCCTAACGGGGAATTACCTCAACCGAAACAAAGGGAGGGAAGGAAGGGAGCAGCAGAGAGAGTGAAGGAAGGAAGCCTGAAAGAGGGAGGGGGAAGGAAGGAAACAAAGGAGGAAGGAAGGAACTTCCTGACTATGAGAACAATCAACCAGTGGAACCACTTGCCTCCAGAAGTTGTGGGTGCTCGTCACTGGAGGTTTTTAAGAAGAGACTGGATAGCCATTGGTCTGGAATGGAATAGGATTTCCTTATTGAGTAGGGGATTTGACTAGAAGACCTCCAAAGGTCCCTTCCAACTCTGCTCTTCTGTTATTCTAAAGGGTCCACAAGGCCAGACTTACCGTGTTGCTCTCCGAATATCCACGTACGGGTTGGGCGATTCAAAACCTCTTACGCATGTTGGATCAATCTTGTAAAATTCTTTTGCCGATTCCTTGGGCAGCGTAAAACAACAGGGCCCCACAGACGGTCCAAGAACTACGAGGATATCCTTTACGTTGCAACCATATTCTGTCACCATTGCATTAACTACAGCCATCGAAACCCCTAGTAAGGTGCCTTGCCAGCCTGAAACACAGACAAAAAATAATAATAATCAGGCGATTTGTACTTTTAGGATTTCAGTGCAAGAGGTTGCAAAGTCACACTGCGAATCCTAAACTGTACATTGCAGAAACGTGCAAGGAGAGATAGTCTTTTGCAATTACAAACTGTTGTAGGTGTTGTGGTCTGCTGGAGGCCTGCGGAGACAGCAGCAGAGTTGGATGGCGGGGAGGACCATGGGCCAGTCCTGGAGTCTGGGGACGGCTCAGATGAGGGATCTGCGTCCAACACAGAGATGGGGCTGGGGCCATCTGGGAGTTATATGCTGACTCCGGAGCCTCCAGACTCTGACAGCAGCGAGGCAGAGGAATAGCGGGAGCCTGTTCCCAGTGCATGCTTGTGCAGAGCAGTCAGAAGGCAAGAAGAGTTAAGACAAAAGGGGTGACGCAGAAGTGAGACTTGGAGATGATTGGCCTCTCCCATAAGACATAAAGGAGGAGCATAGGGACACAAGCCTTTGCAGGAAGCAACTTTGTTTCATTCTGGTCGGTTTAAACTCTGATGCTCCGTGTTGACTTTTTGCTCCGTTTGGCCTTGTACAGTGAATTTAGTCGATGGCAGCATTCCAAGGGAGATAAAGGTGGGTGCTTATCAGCCTTATCCCGAAGTACTTTGGCAGATGTCCATGGGACTTATTCACCAACTGTTTGGGACTCATTATGGGCTGCGAATGTATATAATTCACAGCCGTTGAAATAAAAAGGGGTTTTGGGGGGACTAAGTGTGTGATGGTGACTGCCTCCGGAAGTCTTGGTCAGAACAGTAGGGTTCCCACGGTCACGTGATCAAAATTCAGTGTATAAAATTTGTGGCGTGTATTTATGATAGCTGCGACGTCCTAGGATGGTGGAATCTCCATCTACAATCTTCACAATCGGTTTTCAACAAGCAGAATCAATGCCTCCCCATTGGATTTGCTTAATGGCTCACTGAACAACTCGCAGCGATTCCCTTAACAACGGACGTACAATTGGGCATGGCTTCACGAAAGCCACAGGACTTCTGATCCCAAAATGCAGTTCTAAGTCAAGGACTGTGTCAGCGTTCCAGCAACCCTCCACTCCAACCAATAACTCCGAGACAGGCATCTTCTCAAAAGTTCTTTCTATTTTGGATAGTAAACTGGCACAACTGGGGAATCTTGAATATGAAAGTTCACGGTTTCCTTGGAATAAGTCAAAAACTACAAAATCCATCCCCTGCACCCACCATGGCATCACAGGCCCCAATAACCATCCGTCCCAACTGGAGATGGCCTCTCACCCAGGTGTAGAAATAACATGACCTTGACTTAGAAAAAGAATGTTATTATGTCTAACCACATACACTCCAAGAAATTCCCCCCTCCCATTTTCCCAGATTCAGGAATGTGGGAGCATCTGGTCTCAGTAGGGCTTCCAAAGCTGACAGACTGTCCATGCAAAGAAGAACAAGCCAACCTTTCTTACAGAGCCGTCCTCGACTTACAACATGACCGCTCAAAGTTACAACGGCACTGAAAAAAGTGACCGTTTACACATTTATGACAGTTTCGGTGTCAGACACTTCGTAACTGACTCATACTTACGACGGTTTGCCATGTCAGGGGATCACGTGATCTCCTTCGGCAATCTTCCAACAAGGAAAGTCAACAGGAAAAGTCAAATTCTCTTAATAGCGGTGTGACCAACTTAACACCTGCAGCGATTCACTTAACAACGGTGGGAAAAAAAATTATCACGACCACAATGGAGTGCAAAGTTTCAGTGGCTAAGGGAAACATGTGTTCAGTAAGTTTTGTCCCAATTTTATGATTTTGTTTGCTACCCTAATTGTGAAGGGAAGGACCAGCTCTAATCATCCTGCAGATTTTATCCATTTCACAGGTTTAAAACCAGTAATGCCTTTTTTTTAAAAATAAAAATAAAACCAGGATGATTCGGAATTTCAGTTTATGTACAGATAACAGATAATCAGAGTTGGAAGGGACCTTGTAGGTCATCTAGTCCAACCCCCCACCCAAGCGGGAGATCGTACACCATTTCTGACAAATGGCAATCCAATCTCTTCTTGAAAGTCTCAAGTGATGGCGCTTCCACAACTTCTGAAGGCAACTTCTGTTCCATTGCTTGATTGTTCTCACTGTCAGAAAGTTTCTCCTTATTTCCAGGTTGAATCTCTCCTCGTTCACTTTCCATCCATGATTCCTTGTCTGGCTTTCGGGTGCCTTAGAAAACAGGTTGACCCCCTTCCTCTTCCTTGTGGCAGCCCCTAAAATATTGGAAGACTATCCTGTCTCCCCTGGTCCTTCTCTTCCCTAGACTAGACATTCTTGCAACCGTTCTTCATATGTTTGAGCCTCCAATCCCCTAATAGTCCTGGTTGCTCTTCTCTGCACTTTTTCTAGAGTCTCAACATCTTTTTTTATAGTGTGGTGACCAAAACTGGATGCAGGACTCTAGGTGTGGTCTTACTAAGGCTTTACAGAGTGGGATTAGTACCTCCCTTGATCTTGATTGTATCCCTCTGTTAATACAATTTAGGATTAAATTGGCTTTTTTGGCTGCTGCTGCACACGGCTGGCTCCTATTTAGCTGGTTGTCCACTAAGACTCCGAGATCCCTCTCCCTGTTACTGCTATTGAGCCTGGTTTCACCCAGTCTATTAAATGTGTCCTTTTGGTTTTTCTTGCCTAAGTGTAGGACTCTCCTTTTCTCTACATTTGAATTTCATGATGTTAGATTCTATTGCTTTTTCCAGTGGCTTGTTTTAAACTGCTGGAGGTGACTCAATCGGGCTTTCAAAATTGGATGGGAACAGAATGTGCTAGCCCTCTACGGATTTCCCCAAACAAAGAACCAGGAAGTAATGACAAAACACGGCGAGGGATTAGCCATTAATCTTCACAAGCTTAGCAATAAAAGCCTTTGCGGGCAGAGCAATCTTCGTTATGCAAGATTTTTTTTTTTTTTTGGCAAAGCCACAATTACCTGAAGTCAGCATAGCTCGGAAGGAGCAAGCATGTGACATAAGCGTGTTTATTTGCACTTCTTCAAACTCTTCCTCTTGCCTTCTGCCTGACAAAGCATGTCCTGTTCTTTCTCACAGTTGCTTTAAGACAATGATCTAACTAGGTCACTGGTCACCAACCAGTGGGCTGGGGAACCACTGGTGGTCCGTGAGAAAATTTTGGTGGTCCGCAGAAAAATGCACCCCCCAAAGCAATTAATCCAGGCCGTGCGGAAACACAAGGCTGTGCCGCCCACATAGCCCGCAGGAACACAAGGCTTGTGTCGCTTGCATTGCAAACAACCATGAGGGAGCGAGGGGAGGGGGGAAAGGGCGGAGCGGGGGGACTTGCCCCACTAGTCCCACGTGCCTCGCCTGACCACCAGGCTGCTTCTTTCTGCTTCTTTCTTCTTCTGCTTTTGGCTGCATGCGAGGAAAGCAGCCAAAGTCTCTCTTTCTCTCTCCCAAACTCCACCAGAAACGAGTCTTTGGGACCCTGCAAGGCCTCCTGCTCCAAGAGGCTGCACTGGTGCAACAAGTCTCACAAAGACTCATTTCTGGTGGAGTTTGGGGGAGAGAAAGAAAGACTTCTGCAGCTTCTGCTGCTTTCCTTGCATGAAGCCAAAAGTCTCTCCCCTTTCTCTCCCCCTGAGAACGGAGCTGGAGACGGTATCGTGCGATCCCAAATAAAGAACAATCGATCGGTAGGAAAACAGGGTGGGGGATTTTCCTGCAGACTTTTGGGGGGATTTTCTCAGGGTGTGCAACCTGGGAGCTCCGAGTGGGAAGACAAAATGGATGCCAGAGAGAGAGAGAGAGAGAGAGAGAGAGAGAGAGAGAGAGAGAGAGAGAGATGGAGGTGGAGGCTGGGCTGTCCGTCAGCCCTCAGATGGAGAGTCAACAGCCCCCAAGTCTGGAGGTGGCTGATGTAGAAGATGAGGACCATCTGGGTCCAGCGCCTGACTTACGGATGTGCAGAAGGCAGAGGAGAGGAGAGCAGGGGAAATCTATGGGATGGTCCTCGGGACAGAAGAGCCACCTCTGCTAGCAAAGCCCCACCCAGGCTCTGGGGGTAAAAGGCAGGGGGCAGAGATGAATAGGTGTGGCTGACTATTCATCTCCCTTCCAGACGGACTTTTTGTCAACTAAAAAGATATTCCTTGGGTTTTTTTAGCTGCCAGAAAAAGACAGTGGGGTAAAACAGTGCATTCCTTAAGTGCCTAGATAATCACCCCGGCAGCCCAAAGTTGTCGGAGCACGTGAATATTATTGGAGAGCCTGATTGATGACTCTTGGCTATGGATGTGTCCCATTGGAGAATATACATCCAGGGGGTGGGGGGAAGACCAGGGTCAAGGGGGAAATGAGTGACGTATTTTAGTATCGGCTGCACCCAGCTATTGCCAACACAGCCACTTCTAATAAATCAATTTTAGCCTGCCGTGAGAGGGAGAGAGAAAATTTTTTCCAGGGTTGCTGGCGCTTCTAATAAAGGAAACATTTGTTTAACTACAGAGGGTTTGTCGTGTTTTGGGAGCCGGGTCAAAACAACAGGTATTTGGTTACCTGAATGGGCAGCTCCACAAACTTTCTTGACCGGGTCCGCAAACACAAGAGGAATGCAGTCTGCGCCGGGAGCAGCAACGACGATGCCTCTTTGGTTGGTTACAATCCCATCGTAGCTCTCGGGTTGGGGTTGTCCCATCACCCAGACGTCACTGCCGTGGTTGACCTGTTCACACAGCAACAAGTGGAGGCCCTGTGAAATACCCTCTTTGGTTCCAAATATTCCCTTTGGGATATTCCTCCTCCTCCTCTTCTTCCTCTTCTCAGCAAACTCCTCCCCACTTCTAGCTCTGATGATGTTACCTAGTTGGGTCATGAAACGTCTGCAAGAAAACCATCAAGCTCAGAGACCACCAAGGACCCCCAGTTCTCCTCCTCCTCCTCCTCCTTTTC